TTCCGCCTAGGTACGTTGTCCTCTTGTGGGGTTTTTCTTTTGTTTTTGTTTTTGCCTGGTTGGGGGGCTGCCTTTGTAGTCCCCCTTTCCTGTTCTAGGAGTTATATAGCTTTTTCTGTTGGTGGTACTCTCCGCTTGGCCCCCGTGAGTGGACACGTCCCGGGGGTTCAGCTTTTAGAAATTTGTTTGGTAGACTTGGGCACTGGTTTGCGTGTACCCCTTCCTGATCTTCCCTTGGCATGTCCCCAAGGCTAAGAGCCCTGGAAAACCCCACGGGGGCTCCGTGGTCCTATGGATGTGACCCCTGAGTCCCCCCCCCCTCCCCCTCGCATTTTGTGAGTTTGACGGTTGCTCTGTCCCCTTGTCTCAGGGTGACACTCACCGGTTTGCCTCCGCCATGCTGCCTGTTGGGTCGTTGTTTCTTATGACCCAGAGTTGTACGACGGGTGTTGTCTGTACGTGCTCTCGTTCACCCTGGCCACTGGTTATGATAAGTGGCTGCAGGCGGCTGTGACGTTGCATGTTAGGTTAAGTTGCTGCAACGCTCTTGGTTGGTTGCGGCCCCGGATGCCCCGAGGCTGCCCGTTTTGTTGTTGGCAGACTTGGGGGTGGGGGTAGCTTCGGCTCTGGCTCTTTCCGCTCCTAGTCCTTCCCCTTCTGTTGTGCATACTTCCTCCTTTGCTTCCGGCTCCAAACTGTAAGCTGGTTTCGGGGTTGGAGCAGGGTCTGGTTGGGTTGAGACTTGGGCGGTTTCGGGGGTTTTCCTCTTCCGGGGTGGCAGTGGCGTCATTCGACCCTGTTCCTCCAGCCGTACCGTATGGGTCTAACCAGTGGGCTCCCTTCCTTAGAGTTTGTTCGGCTGCCCCGGCTTTTCCTTGTGACGCTGGGGCTTTGGGAGTGAGGCTTTGCTTCGGGTCCTACAGTAGAGGTTCCCGGTGTTGGGGAAGGGTTGCCTGGGGGTGCCTCGGCTCTGTTTTGCTCCGCTTTGGCCTTTGTACCGTCGGTGCGGGGCCTGCAGTTTCTCAGAGTGGGGTTGTTCCTTTCCCCTCTGTGTTCGTGTTGGTTTTGGGTCTACCCCTCCCTGGGTGCGGTTCCGTATTCCTTCGGGTCCGTCGGTTCCGTCGTTCCCAGGGGTGTGTTTCGCCCCCTTTTTCCTCCCCCTTTTCGCGCTTCCGTCGCGATTTTGTTCGCTTCGTCTCGCGGTCCTTGTTTGCCCCTTGATCAGGGGTTTCTTTTTTGTCCATATGTACCTCCGTGCATTTGTGCTTGCATGTCATGGTTCGCGTTGGTTCGCGAAACTCTTCATATTCTCTGATATTGTTGGTACGTCTGTTGACTTCTGGTGAGGTTTCCCTCTGGTCCTTTTTCGGACTCGTTGGTTTCCTTCCGTCCTCCTTGTCTTCTTTCATTTCTGTTTCGCCTTGATTTGTTTTCACTTCGTCTCTCCTTCCTGTTTTCACAGTCTTCGTGTTTGTTACGTACACCTTCCGGGTGTTTGTACAATATGTATATACAATGTGTCTGTACGTTAGGTGTGTGTACGATATGTGTGTGTGTCCGCCTGGTGTACAAGCCGCACTGCCCGGTAGATGGGTGGTGCAGTTTGTACCTCGCATGCTGGGGCTGGGGTGTTCATTTTGTTTCTGGGCGGTGTACTCGTGTGTTCCACGTCGTTTTTCGCGGTTTTCTACGGCTGCTTGCTCGTTTTCTCTCCAGTCATAACCCTCTAGATGCGGGGGGGGTGTTCTGGATTTTATATACGAGGACGTCACTTCGTTCTTTCTCTGCTTCCGGGTGTGGGGTGGCTTAGTGTGGGGCCACCTCCACCTTTGTCCTGCACCTCGTCTTCTGCTGGGCACGCACCTCTGGATGTATTTCGCCTTCGACTTAAACGTTTTATTCAGGTCACAGTACATACACTGCCTACTGCCTCTCGTAAGCATGGCGTTTTAGGCAAACCACTAGCGATGCTCCTGGTACGTTCCTTGACTTGACTGTGTTGTGGCACGTTCGTGTCTGCTCTGCAGGTGTGATTGTCCTGTCTGGCGACTCTGTCAGCTAGGTGCTGGGTCTCGACTTATCGTGGAATAATTGCCTCGTGCCTGCGGGGTTGAGCTCTGGCTCTTTGGTCCCGGCTCTCCACTGTCGGTTGACAGGTGTGCAGTTTCCAGTGCCTACTGGGCTCTGTCTTATCTACATTTGCTCCTGCGTGTGGAATCTGCCTCCACCGCATCGCTTCCTAGTGCATTTCAATTCCTACCTCCTCTGGCATTAATCAAGTTCTTTTTTAAAGCCTGTGGCTCGTTTGGGTCGTCAGCTTCCTCCTTTGTACCCGTGTGCGGGTACGGTCTTTGTTCACTGCTCCATCCTTGTTTACTCTGTCGCTTCCCTGCTTATCTGGGTTGGGTTGATGGCTCCTAACTGGGTGTTCGGTGTTGTGTGTTTTGCTTGGATACCTTGCGTGTGTCTTCCATGATTTTACTTTGTCCATGTGTGTCTTGTTCTTCGTTGTCCTGTGGGGCACTGCCCCACGTTTCGGTGCTTTTTGTTTAGTTTTTTGGGACCTGGATCTTTTCCCTATATTTGGGCACTCCTTCGTTCCCTCGGTCCTTGTTTGTGTCCTCCGTCATTGCTTGGTCTCTGATCTCTGGACACTCGTTCCTTGCCTATCTTCGGTGCCTGGCTGCACTCTGATGTCCATGGTGTCCCTCGGTGTCTGTGCGCCCTCCCCTACGCACTTTGTGGTTGGTTGGGTACATTGCGTTACCGGCTGCTTCTTGATCCGTCTTCGGAGGTTTTCCTTGCCTTTTTCCATTTGTCCTCCTTGCTACACTTGCCTGTGTATCTGGGTCGGTGCTTCTTGGCTATACTGATGTTGGGTTCTCGAGTGGGCCTCTGGCCATGTTCAGCTCCCTGCTTTTGGACTACCCCCAGTGTTTGGTTTTGGTCCTGTGTTCCTTCACTTTTTCTTTGTTTCTCCCTGCAGGCTTCTGTGTTGCACTGTCTGTGGGGGGTTGTGGGCTTGCAGTCCACCGCTCCTGCCCTGCTGGTTCCTTTTCTTGGGACAGGTTGCTGGGCTTCCGGTCCTGACTCCAGCTTTTCTTTGTTCCTTTTCTGGAATGGGTGTTTTTTCCTGCGGTTCGCATCCTGCGGAGTTCTCCTCATGTATGCCTTGGGGATGCGCGAGTCGTTCTTCCCTGCTGGTGCTGGTTGCCCTGCTTCTTTGGGTTGTAGCGTAGCTGTTTTTCGCTTTGCGTCTCGCGTTTTCGTTCGTGATGCTCGTTTTTCCTTGTTGGCCTATGCCTGGGCCCTGGCTACTTGTTGTTTGGCCTTGTTGGTCCTACAGGAGCCCTTGGGGGGTTCCTCCTGGACGGGGCATTTCTGCTCGCCCGGGTTGGTTCCTTTTCAGCTCACTGGGGTTGGGTTCCTTGTTTCCCTTTCGGCTGTTCCTTTTGGTTTTTGCCTGCTTTGGCAAGGCCTTCTGCTTCCTCAGTTTCGGTCCTGTGGGTCTTACCGCAGCTCCGCCTCTTTTTGGGTCGGTCCAACCCTGTACAGGGCTGGTTCATCCTTTCCCTAGAGTTTTCATGTCTGCGGTTTTTGCCTCTAGTTTCTCTTCACTTGTGTGGGCACTGGTGGCTTCGTTGTTGGTCTCCCGCCTGCGTGCCTCGTCTCGGAGGCAGTGTGTAAATTTCCTGGCTGTCCTTCCGGTTTTTCCTATCATTGCGAAGGGTCCTTCGATCTCTGATAGGTTTGGCTTGTCTTTCCCTTTGGGGTTGTTCCGGGACTGTCGTCTGGGACCGTGTACTGTCTCTTCGTCTTGGGTGGTGCTGGCGGAGCCACTCTGGCTTCCGTTCAGGCTTCCGTTCAGTGTTGCTGTTCCTTCTGCTCCGTTCCGCTTGCTGTCTTGGGGCATTGTTTCATCTCCAGCCTGCTCTTGAATTTCCGGTGTCGTCCTGGTCGTTGGCCCGGGTGGTCTATTTTATTTCTTCCCTTCGTCTGTGGTCATAGTTTTAGGTTAGGGCGTGTGGCGTCCGCCTCCCGGATCCTTCCCTATTTTTCCTTATCTGTGGTGAGGTAGCTCCGGGGAGCCAACGGGGCTCCCCCAGAAAACCAGCGTTGAATGTAATGAAACGCCATTTTATGGGTGAGTCCCAGAGGCTCCCCGGCATCCCTTCCTCCCTCCGGTCGGCGGTGTTTTTCGCGTATTTTGACATCCAGCCTAAGAACTACCAGTTGGATCACTGGCGCGGATGGTCTGGGGCTCCCCCTTCCCCCTCCCTGGGAGGGGGGTTGCGCAGATGGTGTCGCGGCGACGTGATGACGTCATGCTAGTTAGATAATTTTGATTGGGGAGTTCTGTCCACTCGCTCGGCTTTCGGTAGCAATATTTTCACCAGAATAGGGGTTTGTTTTGGGGCGCCTACCTTTCTGGGTGCCTATCCCGGTCGATGGCAGACATAGAATGCTCCCAACCACAGAGGAGTTTCTATAGGCGATTGCTCCTCGTGCCTCTCTGAAGGGGCCAGGTTCTAGCTCGTGGTCCCCGGTAGGCAAGAACTCCAAGCACTTTGACTGATGCCAGAAAGTTATACATATCCATTCAGTCTGAATATCTCCAGGAAGCGTCCGGGACTCACCCAGAAAATGGTATTTCATTACATTCAACACTAGTTTTTTGGGTGCCTTCCCTTGTCGATGGCAAGTATGATACAGGGTATACTTTACATGTAAAGTGCTCATAGGCCACTACTCCCTGCGCGCCTCTCTGATGGGGCCAGGTTCTGGCTCTGGTTCCTGATAGGCAACATGAACTCTGTGACTGATGACTCCAAATAGGATAGCACTATATCAGTAGGATAGCTTCAGGAGCTGCCGGGGTTCTCCCAGAAACTGGCATTTCATTTAATTCAACGCTGGTTTTATGATAGCCACATATAAAGTATTTAGAATGATATACTCTAATTTGCTAAATATTTTGATAAAAAATTTCTAATTTACAGAGAGTTGCTGAGGTTTGCCAGTATGTGGAACATGGCTTAGAGCGTGGCCTTCGTGAGGGAATCTTGAATAAAGATTTGTCTGTGCTCAGACAGACATTACATACATATGCAAGCCTTGGAAGTGTTAATCATGCACACCAGCTTGTTAGGGAGCTGATGAGAAAAGAACTGGAAGATGTAAGGCATCAATTTATATTATTGTGAATGTAGGTTCATATGTTCATGCACTTGCCTGAACACTATGCAGATGTTAAAGGGTTGAAGTTGGTAATTTTATAACTTATATGTGGAGAAAGGAAGTGTTAATCATGCACACCAGCTTGTTAGGGAGCTGATGAGAAAAGAACTGGAAGATGTAAGGCATGGAGGTAGGGTTCAAAAGCATCTCGTGGAGGTGGGAAAAGCATCTCAGACATTAAGGAATTAGTGTTCAGATAGTTTGGATTTATGGAGAAAATTGCTGAGAAATGATGAAGTGAGTGAAAGTAGGACACCAAGACTGAAGTGTAAGGTTAGACTTAAGAAATGTATGACAGAATGCTTGGTTACGTAATAACAGGATTTCTAAAAGACTTCTTTCCTGGGAACTTACTGTCTCAAAAAATGGCATTATTAAATTAATATACACAGAGTTAGGAACTGTGAGAAGGAATCATACTAGACCATTGGAGCAAAAAAGGAATAGTGCAGGAATTTGTATATGTTAAGCAAATCAAGTCATTTCTTTGTAAATCACTATTAAATAACATGAAATATTATATTTGGTAAATACTATAAATGCATATTCTTTTCAATGATTTTATTCTATTATTATAGGGAATGAAGTTATAAATTTAAGTTAAAAATAATTAATTACAGATAATAAGTGAATCTGCGCTACGTTCGGATCCTCGAGGTCTCCCTGGAATGTACGCAAACACTTTGACAGCAATCAACAATGTGTGTCATCCTTTGCTTTCTGTCACCACAGGTCAAAGGTAGAGTATTCTTACCATATTGTACAACGTTCACTTGTTAAATTTGGGACCCATAACCATAACCCCTTAACTGCGCGGCCTCCCAATATGACCCCCCCCCCCTCCAGTGCGCAGGATATAAATTCTCTGGAAAAAAATATTTTTTGAAAGTGTCAAAAATCCCTTCTCTGAGTATGGGAATAGTAACAGTAGGGCGAAGTTGTACGTACTTTGGCTATGGGGTCCGTAAGTTCGCGCGTTTATGTCATCATTCTGGTAGGGCGCCTGGGGCAGGATGCATGAGTTGCCGCGAATATATTTTTGTTGATTTTCTGCGCACAGTTCCAAATACATTTTATTTGCTTTTACATGCCAATCCTATGTATAATGAACATGTACACTATATTATGGCAGTAGAACATCCGTACTGTACGAAGACACTGTGTTACGTGCATGACACATGTGTACACATATCTGGCACATATTTCCATTGTATTATACTAATTTATGTATATATATATACAGTCTATTTACACACTATACACTATCACACACTATATACATTCACCATCAATACACTCAGAACTCTGCGAGTGTCAGCTGCCACATCCTCACTCCTCCAACATCTCACTCACCAACATTGCTCCTCCCACCATACTGGTATTGTTTGTATTACACTATTTACACATGTACATAAACATGCTGTACAAAAACAGCATGCCAAGGATTTGGGAATAATGATGTCCGACGATCTAACGTTTAGGAAGCATAACCAAGAAAATATTGCGTCAGCCAGAAAAATGATCGGATGGATTACGAGAACTTTCAAATCCAGGGATCCCACCACAATGGTTGTACTCTTCAAGTCACTTGTGTTGTCCCGTCTCGAGTACTGTTCAGTACTCACTTTCCCCTTCAGAGCAGGAGAGATTGCTGATATAGAGGGAATACAGAGAACGTATACGGCATGCATAGACGAGATAAAACACCTAAATTATTGGGATCGTCTCAAAGCTCTCCAAATGTACTCTCTAGAAAGGAGACGAGAGAGATACCAAATAATATACACATGGAAAATACTGGAGGGCCAGGTCCCAAATCTACACAGTAAAATAACAACATACTGGAGTGAACGATATGAAAGAAAATGCAGAATAGAACCAGAGAAGAGCAGAGGTGCCATAGGCACAATCAGAGAACACTGTATAAACATCAGAGGTCCGCGGTTGTTCAACGTCCTCCCAGCGACTATAAGAAATATTGCCAGAACAACCGTGGACATTTTCAAGAGGAAACTGGACTGTTTTCTAAGAGAAGTTCTGGATCAGCCAGGCTGTGGTGAGTATGTGGGCCTGCAGGCTGCTCCAAGCAACAGCCTGGTGGACCAAACTCTCACAAGTCGATCCTGGCCTCGGGTCGGGCTTGGGGAGTAGAACTACTCCCAGAACCCCATCAAGCAGGTGTGTGTGTGTAAACTAAAGTCTTTGAAAATGTAATAAGTTATTACGAAAATCATTCAAGCGTCGCGTTAGACTAGAAATAAAAATGAATTTTGGAGAATTGATTTTTCAATTACCATCGACTGTAAAAAGAAACATAAGAAATATTGAGCAAATTCGTGTTAGAATTATTAATCTTACTTTTTCGGTCATATTTAACAACATGTGTTTATATGTATATGTACTTTTTCTTTCGGAAGGGGCTCTGTTCCCTTCGCTGTTGACGGGGCGCTGGGGTAGCAGCTTGCTCTGTTGACTCTCGGATGGTCCTGCAGATAGTGGGCGCTTTTGGTTGTCTTCCGGCCTGTGGTGGCGGCGGCGGACGGCTTCTCCCCCTTTGGGGGGTTCAGTGCTGATGAGTGGGCTTCTTCCCCTGCGCTTCATCATGTCATCTTAGTGGGTGCGTTGGACGTGGTTGATCTGCACCATCCTCCATGGAGTTCCCGTCTGCTCTATGCAGACACGGGCCTGGCGAATCTGCGGTTCTTCTGGACTTCTTCAGTCTGCGCCCTGCATTCTATGCCCTCATCGGAGGACTGTTGTCTCTGGTCCGGTTTCTGTTGGGGCCGGGTGCCTGGATGATGGCCCTGGACCTTCAGATCAGCTTTTGGCACGTTCCTCTCCAGTTTTCCGGGACTAGCACAGTTGATGGTGGTGAGGCTTCAGGCTTGCCACTTTTGTTGCCTTTCCTATTTTCTAATTGGCACTTGGTGTATTTACACATCCTTACCGGATCTTGGTGCCCTCTCTGAGTCTGCTTGCGATTCGGTGTCTGGCCTACCTCAACGACTGGCTGGTGTGGGCTCCCAGTAGTTCCGCTTGTCTGCTCACCAGGGGTGTGGTTCTTTCCAGATCGCCGGGTTTGGTTTCCTGGTGATCTGGAGGCTGTTCCATCTGTTTCCATCCTGGGTTCAGACCTGGCTGGGCTTGTTTAGGGCTCTTGGGCCGTTCCTTGTCTTTACCTCCAGAAGTGTTGCTGCGGCTGTGGTCCCGCCTTCGGCTGTTCATGAGCGGGTCCCGGGCTGCTCGGTGGTTGCTCGAGCAGTTGTGCGGGAGTCTGAACTTCGACGTGCTGGTCTGCCCGCAAGGTCGGGTTTGGCTTCGGCGTCTGTTTGGTTCCTTCAGAGACTCCCCTTCCGGCTCTCGTGCAATCGTTGGGTTCGTTCCTCTGGGGATCTTGTGTTGGTGCTGCATCACCAGCTTCCTCTTTGGGGTTTTCGGAGTTCCGTGCCTTTTTGGCACCTCCCCGAGCCTTCGCTCAATGTGTTCATGGACGGGTCATCTCTCGGCTGGGGTTTGTGATCAATGCTCACCAGGTTGGTCGGGATGGTGGGGTCTGTCCGTCCGTCAGGCTCACAGCACGATTTGGGAGTTCGTGGCTGTCTGGTTGGCGCTTCGGAGGGTTAGGGTCACTCTATGCTCTACCATTCGGTTCCATTCAGACTGTTCTCTGGCGGTTCTTTGCCGGAACTACAGGGTTTCTCTTAGGTGTTTGATATTTGGGATTGGTCCCTTCGAGTGGCTCATTTGTTGGATTCTCGGGGTTTGGCTAACCGGAGGTTCATGTCCGGGGTGCATTCTATGTCCTGGCAGACAGCCTGTCTTGGTTCATTCCTCTGTTCGCGGATTGGCCAGTCGTCGCCGACTCATTTCGTTGGCCCTGCTGGACGTTTGGACTCCTGGCCATGGACGTCTTCCAGTTGGCATTGTCTAGGCGTCGCCCATTCTATGTGGCGCCCTTACCTGCCTGCGAGGCGTTCACGGTGGATGCCTTTCGGCAGGACTGGTCGAGGTGGGGGTACCTGTTCCTCTTCTCCCGTCCAGCTGTTGCTTCGGGTTCTGGCTCGGTTGGAGCCCATTCCCACGAGAGTAGTCCTTATGGTCCCTTGGTGGCCGGCCCAGCTTTATTTTCAGACGCTGCTTGATAGGTGTCCGAACCCGGGGCGTTTTCCCGCGGCTCCGCCTCTTTCGGCAGGTCGGACCGGTCCTGTATGTGACTGGTTCGGCCTTCTCCTTGGCTTTTCACATCTGGTATTTTGACGCGGGTATCACCATCTCTGTGGTGATCAGGTGGCTTTGTTGATGGTGTCCCACCTGCGAGCTTCGTCTCGGTGACAGCATGATGTTCCTGGTGTTTCTATGCACCTTTTTCTTGCTCTCGTAGGTCATCTTCTCTTTCACATCGGGTTGTCTTGTCCTTTCTTGGGTTTTCAGGACTGCAGTTATTGATGTTTCTTACTGTCGCCTCGTTTTGTGCGGCACTGGCGGAGCCGCTCCGGCTTGCGTTCGGGGTGGACGTCACATCTGCCCCGTTCCGTACGCTTTATCGTGTTTTGTTTCACCTCCGGCCTGCTCATTCATCACCTGAGCTGTCCTTGTCCTTGATCAGGGTGCCCTCTTATCTTCTCCTCAGTTTGTTGTAGCCCTTTCGTTTCAGGTTTCTGCTCTATGGTACTGGTGGTAGGTTTGTACGTTTGCAGCCTTTCTCCGTCCTTCTAGCGACGGTCGAGACGGCTACTTTCCTGAGGGGTCCTTGGGTTATTTATGCTTGATTGGTTCAGCGGGGGGGGCGCTTTGACCTCGGCGGCTCGCTGTCGGCTGCCCTGCTGAAGCTTTTCGCTTCAGCATGGCAACCGATCTTGCGGGATGCGGTTGCTATGTTTTATGCTTCCCGGCTCGCGTGTCGGCAGACGGTGCTTGCCTCCTCTATGGAATCCGCTTGGGCCTTGGCTCTAAGGACGTCTTCTCCCTTTTGTCCTCTCTTGTTTTAGGCTTCCGCCGTTGCGCAGTATGTTGAGGCTGCTTCGGCTTTTTGCCTTCCTATGTCGGACTTGCTGGTTCTCCGGGGGTCCCGTGGTGGACTTTCCCAGAAGGGTCGTGCCAAGGCTCGGGGGTTCCTCTCATTGTAGTAGGCCACTGGTGTCTGGTTCGGGTTCGGTTCCTCCTTCGGACCCGCCTCCGTCTGGTCGGCGCAGTGTTCACTCTGTGCGAGGTTCTGGGTCTCGTAAGGGGCGCCGGCCCTTTCGCTGTTTGCCTCATTAACAGGGTGATGGAGGGAGGCTTGCACTGTTCTCTCACGCCTGGTCCCACGATTTGTTGGCGTTGCGGGTCGTTTCGCATGGCTTCTGGTGGCGTTGGGTAGGAGACGTGTGGGTCCGATGAATGTGACCCCGGGGTCCCCCCTCGCTTCATGCGAGTTTGAGGGTTGTTCGGTCACCTTGTCTCAGGGCGACCCTCACTGTTTTTGCCTCCGTCATGCAGACTGTTGGGTCGGTGACACTTTCGACCCTGAGTCCTGTGAGTATTGTTGCTTGCTGGTGACTCAATTTACCCAGTCTATGGCTGATGATCTTCGGGTACAGGCTGCACAGGCGTTGCATTCTAGGTTTCGGTTGTTGCAACGTGCTCGGTTGGTTGCTCACCTGGATGCCCCGGGGCTGCTCTGTTTTGCTTATAGGGACCCGGACTTGAAGGTGGGGGTCGCTTCGACCCTGGTTCAGTCTGCACCTCCTGGTCCTTCCCCTCCTGTTGTTCGTTCTGGTCCCCCTCCCCTGCTTCCGGCCCGAAATGTCTGAGGGTTTTGGTGTCAGGGCAGGGGTTAGTTGGTCTTGAGACTCAGGCAGCCTCGGAAGATGCCCCTTCCGGTGTGGCGACGGGGGCATTTGAGTCTCTTCCCCTGGCCAAAGCCTCTGGGTCTGACCAGTGGGCCTCATTCTATCCGGCTTCTATGGCTTCGCTGGCCTTGTCTAGTGGGGTCGGTGGTTGGGGGAGAACTCGGCCCCGGGTCCTGCGAAAGAGCCCCCTGGGGCCGAGACCCTTCCTTGGCGGTGTTTTGCCTTCGTAGCGACCTCTGCTGTGTTATTGTTGTGTCTGGTGGCCAGGTGTTCTTCATCAGTGCTGGTGCTGCATGCACTTAGGGGCTTCCTTCCCTAGGTGCCTTTTAAGTACTGCTGCTGGGGAGGGGCTGACTTGTGGGGCTCAAGGCCCCGTGGACCCCGCCTGGGTATTTTTCCCCTCTGAGCAGGGCTTACTGTTGCAAGGAGTGGGGTTTTATTTTCCCCCCTCTGCGTACGAGTTGGACTTGGTGTCTGCCTCTTCCCTGGTTCGGTTCCATGTTTTCCCGGGTGCTTCAGTTCCGTCTTCTGGAGGTTTTCGGCTTATTGCATCCAACCTACTGCGGTGCGGGCGGCCCTTGTGGCTATCCTCCTGCGTGACCCAGATTATGCCTTGGCAATAGATCCCTCGGCTTCAGGTTTGCGACTTCGTTCCCTTTCTGGCTCCATTACTAGGTTCCGGAGTCGTCCTGGCTGGCGGACTGTCCTGTCTTTACCTTGGAGACTTGGCACATCTGCTTTTCCCGCACGCTTGAGTGACGTGGGGGGGGGGGGTCTTCGACGGTACTTCAGGTTTTCCTGGAGGGCGACCTTGAGCCCCTCAATGAGTGCTTATTTACTCCTGCCCTTTCCCGAGATCTTGGTGTCGTTCAGCTCCATGTGCAGGTTCCTTCCCTTTCGGCAGCGCAGGTGGCAGAGGACTTGCGCGCTCGGGGCCTTTTGGTTGCAGCCTTGTGCTTTAATATAATCGCACAAACCACACTTCCACACAGGGATACACACTGCCATACACTTATAAACATAAGTACTGTATATAGTACATTAGACATGCTGGCAACCACAGCTCTTATAATTATATTTCTTAACTGTAATTAATATCTAGTCAGTAATATGCACATCTGGTACTACTGCCGCCCACACCACCGATCGTGTTAAGCACCTGTCCAGCACAGGACCACTTGTACCACCACTTCATTAACCAACTCTTTATACAGTATAATGCAATAATGTAATAAAAGGCAACCACAATACAGTCAAATGAAATAAGAATATGATAACATTATGACATGAAACAAAAATATACATAACTAACACAATTAATTGATGGAGTATGAAATGTATAAAAATGCATAATTTAATAGTTAGGACCCAGATAAATACTTGGATCATAACAGTGTACAGTAGTTGAGCCAGTTTCCCACAGGTCTGTGAACTCTGGCCCTGCATCTCAAGCACATCTGCTCATCTCCCACTTAGCCAAACACTTAGTTTGGTGAAACAGGTGAGTAAATTTTCCCTGCAAAGTGTGTGTTGCAACTGGAGATTTACCAAATTGAGGTTGCACTTTATATTGACCACTTATATTTGTCATTCATTATTGCAAATTTCATTTATCAGGTCAGATATAGTAAGGGGCTACAGTTTCTTGGAACGTTCTGCATGGCCTGAAATAGTTACAGCTTTAGAGACTGGCACTCATCATATTTTTAACCCTGGAAATCCTTCCACTTTTCATCAAGTAAGAGCTCTGTACAGTATTCTGACTTTGAAAACCATTCATTTACTTGTTTTATTGTAATTTCTGTAATTTGCTCACACTCACATGTTGCATTATTGTAAGAACATTGGCATTTATTATGTATTTCTGTGGGGAGCCCCTACGGCTCCCTGGAGCTATCGAGCTAATGTGTGATATATTAGACTGGGGCATTAGCTATGGAGTTTGACCTACCAGGGACCTTGATCCAGAACCTGGCCCCTTCAGAGAAGTTTCAGGGAGCAATGGCCCTGTAAAACCTCCCTGTGGTTGGGGTTTTCCTTATCTGCCATCGACCAGGGTTAGGCACCCAGAAAGGTAGGCATAACATAACAAACCGCACAGGGTAAGAAACTAACAAATAAAAACCGAACAGAGAGGTAGAACCCTCTCCAATCCCAAAGAAACAAGCAAACGGCACACTCTACTGCCGCGCTGCTCATCCATGCAGCCTTCCCCCTCCATGAGTGGGGGAGGGGGGGAGCCCCAGACCCCCCATCCAGCTACTCAGTCATCCAATTCGTTAGCTAATGTGAATCGGGGTGGACGCTTCTTTGGCTTCAAATTCCTTGGCGGTGTTTTGCCTTCGTGGCGACCTCTGCTGTGTTATTGTTGTGTCTGGTGGCCAGGTGTTCTTCATCAGTGCTGGGGCTGCATGCACTTAGGGTCTTCCTTCCCTAGGCGCCCTGTAAGTACTGCCCTTGCGTGTTAGGGTTATCTTCCCTGGGGCGTTCAGGAAACCATTTCTGTGGAAGGTTTTGCTGCTCAGCATTTCCCTCGCCCTTGGGGCTAGCTAGGGTCTTTTGCCCATGGGTAGGAAGTTGTATCATTCTGGTTGGGGTGTCAAGGTGCAGCCTGCCTACCTACGCAGCAGCCAGTTCCTCTTTCCTCTGGGGAGGATGCTGTACTTTAGTGAGGTTTTTCTTTTATTTTTGTTTTCTTGCCTGGTGGGTCTGCCTGGGTGTGGTGTTAGTTCCACGTATTATTCATTGGTGGCCCCTCTTATTAGCTAAGTGCTCTTATTACCTAAGTACTCTGCTAGACCCCCTATGATTGTACACTTCGCAGGGGTTTCAGTGTTTTTCTCACCCCTTGTTTGCTTTGGGTTTCAATCGGTTTGCAACACCTTGCCCGGGCTTCCTGTAGCAGTCAGCCTACGGGCCCTGGAAGACCCTGTCGGGGCTCGGTGGGTCAATGGCTGCATCTTCTGAGTTCCAGCCCACCTTGTGCGGGTTTGAAGGTTGCTGTGTGCCCTTGTCTCAGGGTGACAGTTACCTCTTTGGCCTTCGTTATGCTGCCTGTTAGGTCAACGACACCTTTGATCTGGAGTCTTGCAAGTCTTGTTCTCTGCTTGTTCTCCAGTATTATTCCAACGACATTACTGTTAGGGTACAGGCAGCATCCGTGTTGCATGTTAGGTTTAGGTTGCTGCAAAACGCTAGGTTGGTACCCACCCGGATGTCCCGTGGCTGCCCCGCTTTGGTTGTAGGGACCCAGACCTAGGGGCATTAGTTCCTTTGACTTTGGTTCAGTCTGCGCTCCCTGGTACTTCTCCTGTTGTTCATCCTGCACTTTCCCCCCTGCTTCCAGCTCCCAAACGTCTGAGGGTTTCGTACTTGGAACAGTGTTAGTTGGTAATGAGACTCAGGCAGCTTCGAGGGCTGCCCCATTTGGGTTGGGGACGGAGGCTTTGGAGCAGGTTCCTCCTGCCGAGGCTTCTGGGTCCCAGCAGACCCCCTTCTTTTCAGCCTTTTCCCTGGACTCTGCCTTTTCTTCAGGGGTAGAAGGCATGGAGGACTGCTCTGCCCTGGGTCCCGACGCAGGGGATCCCGTTGCTGAGGATTCAACCTGGGGGCCTTGGGTCCTCTTTGACCCCCGTGGGTGCTAGTGCCCCTTTTGCAGGGCTTGTTGTTGCAGAAGGAAGGGTTTTCTTACCTCACCTTCCCTGTATGAGTATGATTTTGGTTCGGCTTCTCCCCGGGTTCGGTTCCGGGCCCCTTTGGGTACCTCGGCTCCGTCCTTCCGGAGGTTTTCTGCTTCTCGTATCTCCACGCGGAAGGTTTGGGAGGCTCTTATTGCATACCTCCTGCGAGACTCGGACTCCTCCTCCATTATGAATCCATCCTCTTTTGAGTTCGGTTCTTCTTCCCAATATTGGGTGCATTTGGAGGTTCCGGAGTCTTCCTGGCTGGCAGACTGCCCTTTGTTTTCGTTAGGGGCATGGCATGGGTTCTATCGGTCCTACACATTTAAGTGGCAAGAGACGTCTACCATTCTGCAGGTTTACCTGGAGGGCGAGTTTGAGCACCTTAATGCGTGCTTGTTTGCCCCTGTGTTTTCTTGGGATGTTGGCCTTGTGCAGTTGCAAGTGCAGGTTCGATCCCTTTCGATGTCCTTGGTTACGGAGGACTTGCGTGCCTGTGGGCATTTGGCCTCGGTCCTGCTTTTCTTTTCCTTTCTCGAGCTGTCTTCCATGTCTCTTCCTCTGGAGGTGTTGCTGCAGCTGCAGTCCCGCCTTCGGCTATTTCTAGGGAGGGGGTCCCGGGTCACTCAGCAGTTGCTCGAGCAGTTGTGCAGGAGTTTGAATTTTGTGCTGGTCGTGCTGGTCTACTGCTGGGTCAGGTTTTGGCTTCTGCTTCTGTTCTGTTCCGCCGAAGATGCCCCTTCCACTTCTCTCGCTATCGCTGGGTTCGCCCTCTGGGGGCCTTGTGTCGGTTGCTGCGTCGCCGGCTTCCTCTTTGGGGTTTTTGGGGTTCAGGGCCTTGGCACCTACCCGAGCCCTCGCTCGATGTGTTAACGGACATGTCATCTCTCAGCTGATGCTTTGTGACCAATGTTCACCAGACTGGCCAGGGGCAATGGGGCCCATCTTTCCGTCGGGCTCACAGCACGGTGCGGAAGTTCACAGTGGTTTGGCTTTCACTTTAGAGGGTTCGGGTCGCTAGGGATTCGACCATTCAACTCCATTCAGACTGTTCTCCGGTGAGCCATTGGCTGAACCTCAGGGGTTCTCTTCAGTCCTTGCCTCTTCGGGTCTGGTCACTTTGAGTGGCTCGTTTACTTGCTTCCTGGGGTTTCGCTCGCAGTGCGGTTCATATCCAGGCAGTGTCCAACGTCCTGGCGGACGGCCTGTTTCAGTTCAATCCTCTGCCCACAGAATGGACAGTCAACGCAAGCTCCTTCCGGTGGCTCTGCTATACGTTTGGACTCCCGGACGTGGACCTCTTTGCGTAAGCGTAGTCTCGGCATGTCCCAATCTATGTGGAACCCTTCCCCGACTGCGAGGTTGTCAAAGTGGATGCCTTTCGCCAGGACTGGTTTATGTGAGGTTATCTGTACCTCTTCCCCCCGGTTCAGCTGTTGCTTCTGGTTCAGGCTCAGTTGTAGTAGTCCTCGTGGCCCTTTGGTGGCCAGCCCAGCCTTTGTTCCAGGAGCTGCTTGCTCTGTGTGCGAACCCTGGGCATTTCCTGCAGCTCCGCCTCTTCCAGAAGGTCAGACCAGTCCAGTACACAACTGGTTCAGTGTTCTCCTCTGCTCTTTGCGTCTGTCTTTTTGAAGCGGGTTTATCACCATTTGTATGGTAATCAGGTAACTTCTTTGATGGTGTCCCCTCCTCAGGGCTTCGTCTCGGTGACAGTATGAAGTTTCCTGGCATTCTTTCCACCATTTTCTCTCTCTTCGTAGGCTGTCTTCTGTTTCAGATTGGATTATCTTGTCATTTCTGTCTTGGCTTTTTCAGGACTGTCATTTGATGCATTTGATGCCTAATACAGTACTGTCGCCTCATATTGTGCGGCTCTGGCGGAGTCGCTCCAGTTTTCGTTCAGGGCGGATGTCTTCTCTGCCCTGTTCCCTAAGCTTTATCATGCTTTGTTTCACCTCCGGCCTGCTCATGTGCCACCTGAGCCATCCTGGTCCTTGGACAGGGTGCTCTCCTATCTTTCTTTTCTTTGGTTTGTGGTAGCCTCTTCAGGTCAAGATTGTTTTTCCGAAGCTCTGTTTTTGTTAGCATTGGCCTCCTGGGATCAGTTTGGGGAGCTTCATGCTCTCCTCCAGCGCAGGGGTTTCTGTTCTTTTGGTCCTGGGGGTAGGTTTCTTCGTTTGCAGCCTTCTCCTTCTATTCTGGCGAAGAATGAGACGGCTGCTTTCCAGAAGTGTCCTTGGGTCATTGATGCTTGGTTGTTCCGGTTGCGGCTCTCTGCCGTTATCTGGGTGCTTCAGCTTCGGTGGCTGGGGATGCGTTAAGGGTTGATCCAGTTTCCCTCGTTTCTTGTTCCAGACCTCGGGTCTCCCAGGTCATCCGCAAGGTTATAAAGCCTATCTAGCCTGCGGTGGCTCGGGAGGCTCCTGTGAGATCCAGTTTATCCTTTGTTGATGGACCCTTCCTGTTTTTAGCTTGGGTCATCATCTTCTTACTGGATGCAATACAAGGTGCCAGAGTCTTTCTGACTGGCAGATAAACTCTTGTTTTCACTTTGAGCTTGGTGCAGCTTTTGTCGTACCTGCACACTGGAGTGGCATGAGGTGTCAACCGTGTTGCAGGTATTTCTGTGGGGCCTGTCTTTTGTGCCTCTCAATGACTGCCTGTTAGCTCCCTCTCTTTCTCAGGATGTTGATCTTATGCAGCTCCACACACAGATTCCCCCTATTGTCAGCAGCTCTTGTGGCAGATGACTATCATGCCCAAATGGTTTATTTGGGTCCAAATCGTGCATATGGGTTCAGTAATGTGTTTCCTGGATGTCCATGAGCTATATACCAATTGACTTGTGAAGGATGTCGGAGTTCTCAGTGCGGTCTCATGTTTCACCTCGACCTGCTCATGTATTGCCTGAGTCAGTCTCTCTGTACTGTGTTCTTGCATTTTTTCTCTTGGTTTATGGTGTCCCTTTTGGCTGTGACTGTTTCTTTTAAGTCTTTGTTTCTGGGGGGAGCCCCGTCGGCTCCCCTGAGCTTTACCGGCTGATATGCTAATGTCAGAC